GCCAGGAGCCCGAGGACGGGAAGAGATGCGGGGACAGGGGGAGGGAGGCTGCCCGTCAGCAGCGCCCGTCTCCGGCCCTTCCCCAGCCGCCACTTCCTATGAATCTCAGGAGTCCCCAGCCTTTTCTTCCAGATTGGCTTGGGGCGGTCTGGAAATAGGGAAAGCCGGCTTCGAATCGAGCTCAGCTCCGGCGACTTCATGGACGCATCGATGGCAACGGTAGAAAAGCGGTTCGCCTCTTTCTGGGGATGTTTCTGCATTTCCCTAGCAGGGTCTGCGCCCCTGGGATCTCCTGTTGGTCTCCCCTCCAAGAATTAACTCAGTCCTACCCTGCTTATTCTTCTTGGGATCAAAGTTGATTGGGTCTGCAGCTTGCGATAATGAGATAATTTGGGGTCCTCAGACTCCACTCAGGACATATGCTGGTGGGCATGTGCAAATGTGTACAGATGAAAATACACATGTGCACGCGCACATCGTGCACACACACTATCTTCTTGCTGTACACATATGCAGCTGCACACGTATGCCATATATCCCCACCAGTATCAAGGAATCATTTGTGTATTCTCTGCCTCGCTTTTTCCTAGGCAGAAACTGTCCTCTGTTATCTTTTTGTGTACTTTTTACCTAGTTTGCTCAGTAAAAACAAAATATATTTATTTAATTAAAAAAATAATAAACTGCTTCATCACTATAGCACTCTGGATGGTTTACAATTACAAGATGGAAGGGCTGGAGATGCTATAATGTAAACACCGCTCTTACTGATGATCTCTCTACTATTTCTGAATCCTTATTTCTCTCTCCTCTTTGACTTGTAGCAGTCACCCTGCGGATACTAGCTACACATATGCCATTTTTATACACGGTTAATGTTTCCCTAGGTGCAACTGACCCAATTAGGTGCTGCTTCAAAGACATACCACCACTGAGTGCTCTGGAGTGGCAAAAGGTCCCAAAGCAGCAACTTTGTCTTGTAGTTATTTAAGCATCTCAGATAGCTCACTGCTTCCTTCTTGTGTGCTGGCTGGCTGGGACTGGGTTGACAAATAAGGGATAGGAGGAAGGAGGAAGCAGAGGCTGCAAAAAGGAAGAAAGAAGAGAAGAGACATCAAGAGGACAAGAGAGCTTTGTGAATCTACTGGCAGGATTGTGTGATCACACTGACATTTACGATTGCTATACTACCCAATCCAGTGTCGTACTCTTTCATTGGAGAATGTCTTAACTGCGTAGGATTTGGTAGCAGCTCCAAATAAGTAAGTCCTGGCCTTGAGACACAGGGACAAAGAGGGTTTTTTTTGACTGCTGGAAGCATCCTTCAGGGAAAGATCTAAGACTCAGCTGTTCCTCGAGGAGCAGGAAGACACTCTGATACTATCCACTTGAGAACAGTGGGCAGGTTTCCAAATCAGTCCAGAAGAACATGGAGGAGAATGCAGTTAGCCCTGATCTACAGCACCAACGTTGTCAGAATTATTGTCCTCAAAGCATTGGTGGCCAAATATACCTTCTGTGCAATGAGAGGCTGAAGCAGGAGCAATACACAGAGATGGTGGATTTCAGGACGGTCCTTCCACCAGAGATGGAGAATGGGCCAGATCCAAGTTCCCGGGCAGTGGCTCCAGCCGGAGAGTTCCTCTTGAATCTGGCAGAGGAGAAGAAGCGGGACAAAGAGCAGGTGGGAAAGTTTGCTTTTGGCAATTCAGTTAGTCTCAAAAGTGGCTTAAATCCTGAAATTCTCTGTTGTCTGCTTGGCCTTTAATCATCTAAGGAGAATTGTTCTGAGACCGTAAAACATTTACTTCTGTTATTTCTCCTCTAATTTTTAATGCTATTCTTTTGTCCCCGTCATTTTTCTCAGGAATTGAGAGGGTTTACAGAGGTAGTCCCAAACTTCCTAGAAGCAGACAAAGCTTCAGCAGTGATCAAGCCAAAAGCTTTCGGAAACAGAATTCAGCTGGATGGAGGGAGAGCTGCTCCTTTAAAAGGTAAGGTTTAGTGTCACCATAAGTTTGTTACTGCTCTCTTTGCGTTTTTAATGATTTTTTTTAGGGAAGGCAGAAAAATATAGTTCTTCACCCTCTAATTCAAGCATGACTTTATTTTTAATGAATTAGTATAAATGCAGGAGTCTGCTGGGCCAAGAGCTCAAATGGGACGAGGTGTGCTACTTATAGCAGAAAGTATGAAATAGGCATTCTTTAGATAAGCAGACATTGTTGATTTCCCTCTGGCTTTGGGGCCAGAAGATTAAATAAGCCTTGTTGGTTGATTGGTGATTTGCTTAGCTCCAATCTTTGCTTTAAAAGTGGGATGATTTTAGTCTTGGTGTATATGTTCTATTGCTTGTCCTGGATGTTTGTTTTATATTGTGTTCCTTTTGAGTTTTAACCCTCTGATCACCACCTAATGTTACTGCAAGTGAGATGGGCAGTTATTGAAATTATCTCAATAAATAAATAAATTCCATCTTTTTCTTGCAGGTGATAGGATAATGCTGGAAACGCAGACTCAAACACACATTCTTTTTCAAGGAAGGAAAACAGCTGCTGTGCTGGATGCGGTAAGGAGAATGAAGATAGGATCCCTGGGAATCCAAGGCAGTGGCAATTTGATTTTTCTGAACAAAGATTTCCCCTCTTTGTTTGTAGCTGTCAAGCTTTTCTCATAAGAAGACTGAAATCCCCTTGGGGGAGGGGGTGAAATTCCTGAAGTTAATACCCAGCTCTTATTTTGGCTCTTTCATCTAGGTTATTAACAATCTCTACATTATCTATCAGTAGTTTTTTTTTTTTTTCAGGGGGCATTCACTTTGCAGGAAGTGGCCGTGCATTTCACCGAGGAAGAGTGGGTCCTGCTGGATCCTGCCCAGAAAGCTCTGCACAGGGAAGTCATGGAGGAGATCAGTGGGATTTTGGCCTCTCTAAGTAAGTTCCGTGTTTCTCTGGAAACTATTGCAAATGGTTTAGGGTTTTATTCACAGGTATAATATGTCAACCCATCAGGTGCTTTTCCTCATGTGGATTGGTACTTATTGAAAGCTATAGTTGCATTGAAGTAAGAATTTAGCAATCAGTACAAGGCATCTTGGCATCAGAGCATTTCAAGGATGAGTATTATACAGTGCCAGAAGGACTGCTGAGAAGTGCTATCATGCATACCTTAGACCAGTGCTCTTCAACCTCAGCAACTTTAAGGTGTGTAGACTTCAACTCCCAGAATTCTGTGCGGACTTCAACTCCCAGAACTCCCCATGCTGGCTGGGGAAGTCTGGGAGTTGAAATCCACACAATTTAAAATTGCTGAGGTTGAGAAGCGCTGCATTAGACAATGTACCATAAGAGGAGTAGGCAGTTAAGGAAGATCTTAACATAAGCAAAGAGTCCTAGAAGAACCAACACATTTTTCATGTATTGGGAACTTGAATGATTTGGGAATTCAGAGCTTAATATTTGAATTTCTTTTTTATTTTAAAAAGGATATAGTAGGTTGCAAAGCCAGTTATCTGATTTACACCTTAACTAGATGCCACTTACAAACAGTGTAACATTTGAGGAGAAGTAGATGTGAGCAATGTGATCCATAAATGCAGAAGTACTTTTAGCTCCTCCAATCATTACAACTATTTATTAAGAATAGTCATTGATTTTACCATTTTCCTGTCTTTATTTCTCAAGACGAGGAATGGAAAACCATTAAGAAAGGACAAAGTACCCAAGGAAGGTTTTACATAGAGGACAAACCATGTAAATGCTTGCAGTGTGAAAAATCCTTCTTTACAAAAGTAGAGCTTAGCACACACAAAAGAACTCACCCAAAGGAGAAGCCCTATCAGTGCTTGGAATGTGGAAAGTGCTTCACATGGAAGACAAACCTAGAGAGGCACCAACGAGGTCACACAGGGGAGAAACCCTATAAATGCTTGGAATGCGGAAAACGATTCACTGAAAGTTCGGCTCTTATTATGCATCAAATCATTCATATGGAGGAGAAACCGTACAAATGCTTGGAATGTGGGAAGTGCTTCACCTCAAACACACACCTGAGTATTCATCAAAGAATTCACACAGGCGAAAAGCCGTATCGGTGCCTGGTGTGCGGAAAGAGCTTCAGTGTGAGCAGTAATCTCGCTTCACATCGCAGGATTCACACGGGGGAGAAGCCCTCCAAATGCTTGGAATGTGGAAAGTGCTTCAGTTCAAACAGGCACTTGAGTAGACACCAAAGAATTCACACTGGGGAGAAACCCTATAAATGTTTGAAGTGTGGAAAAAGTTTCAGCGTGAGCAGTAATCTTGCTTCTCATCATAGGATTCACACAGGCGAGAAACCCTATAAATGTGCAGAGTGTGGAAAATGCTTTGCTCGCAGTTCAGACCTTGTTAAACATAAGAAAATTCACACAGGAGAGAAACCCTATCAATGCTTGGAATGTGGGAAATGTTTTGTGGGGAGTTCAGACCTGGTGAAGCATAAGAAGATTCACACCGGGGAGAAACCACACAAATGCTTGGAGTGTGGGAAGTGCTTTGCTCGCAGTTCTGATCTTATCAAACATAAAAAAATTCACACAGGGGAAAAACCGCATAAATGCTTGGAGTGTGGAAAGTGCTTCACTCAGAAGGCCCAGTTAAGTAGACACCAGAGCACTCACACGGGAGAGAAGCCCTATAAATGCTTGGAATGCGGGAAAAGTTTCACTCAGAGTTCAGCTCTTATTACGCATCAAATAATTCATACGGGGGAGAAACCCTTTAAATGTTTGGAATGTGGAAAGTGCTTCAGCTCAAACACACACCTTCGCAGGCATCAAAGAACTCATACAGGCGAGAGGCCCTATAAATGCTTGGAATGTGGAAAGTGCTATAGCCAGAGAGCTGAACTCAACAGGCATCAAAGAACCCACACAGGAAAGAAACCCTATAAATGTTTGGAATGTGGGAAAAGCTTCACTCAAAGCTCTTCTCTTATTACCCATCAAATCACTCACACAGGAGAAAAACCCTATAAGTGTTCAGACTGTGGAAAGTGCTTCAGTTCAAACACACATTTACGCAGGCATCAGAGAACACATACAGGGGAGAGACCCTATAAATGCTACGAATGTGGAAAGTGCTTTAGTTCAAACACACACCTCTGCCGACATCAAAGAACCCACACAGGGGAGAGGCCATATAAATGCATGAAGTGTGGAAAGAGTTTCAATGTGAGCAGTAACCTAGCATCTCACCAAAGGATTCACACAGGGGAGAGACCATATAAATGCCCAGAATGTGGGAAGTCCTTCCTCCGCAGTTCCCACCTTATTATCCATGTGAAAAACCACACACGAGGGAAACCCTACAAATGCCTGGAATGTGGAAAATGTTTCATCACAAAGGCTAGCCTAGGCACCCATGAGAAGAATCACACAGGAGAGAAATCCTATAAATGTTTGGAGTGTGGAAAATGTTTCAATTGGAATGCACACCTGAGAACCCATCAACGGATTCACACAGGGGAGAGACCTTATACGTGTTTGGAGTGTGGAAAGAGCTTCAGTGTCAAGAGCTCCCTTGTCACCCATCACAGAATTCATACAGGAGAGAAACCCTACAAATGCTTGGAGTGTGGGAAATGCTTCAGTTCAAACACACACCTAAGTAGACATCAGAGAACTCACACAAGCGAGAGACCATATAAATGCTTGGAATGTGGAATGAACTTCAATTTACGCAGTCATCTGGTTTCCCATCGTAGAATCCATACTGATGAGAAACCATATAAGTGCTTGAAATGTGGAAAATGTTTCTCTCTCAGGTCTCAACTTAGTATCCATGAAAGAAATCACACGGGGGAGAAATCATATACATGTTTGGAGCATGGAAAGAGTTTTACTGTGATTAGTTCCCTCACCTCCCATTACCAAGTCCATACAAATGAGATAAACATAAATTCAAAAGGCTTTGCTTGATTCTGAATTATGCATTAATTAATATTCACTTGGGGAAGAAGCCACAGAATTGACTAGAAAAATGGAAGTGCTTTATTACAAGGATTCAGATAATCCCCAGTTTAAGAATGAGTTCCATTCCCAAGGTCTGTCCTTAGGTCGAATTTATATGTAAGCCGGAACAGTATTATTGCATAATACTGTATAAGTTGTATTGTGTAATGAACTTGAACCGTCGTGTATTTAACTCAAATTTTGCTACAATAGGCTCCGTTCTTAACAATGGGTCCTCTGTAACCCAGGCGTTCTTAACCCGGGGACTACCTGTACATCTTTGCATACTTCAAAGAAATCACACAGAGAACATACATAACTTTTGGGATGAGCAAAGAGTTCCAGGTTGAGCAGTAACCTCATTTAGTTAGCCTTTAGGAACCAAGGAGGGGAAGTGTTTTAGTAAGACATACCTGAGAGTTTTACAGGGAGGCTCTATTAATGCTTGTGGAATGTGGATTGAGATTCATTACAAGGGCAAACCTCAGAACACATAAAAATACTGAAATGTGCCAGATTCTCAGTCAGTGTTTGGAACATGGGGAGAGGGTAAACTTCACTTCTGATACAGGGAAAACCTCTTAGAATAAAAGTGAGAAATACAGAAAAAGTTGTTGAAGTTCATTACAATAAATAAACCACAATGGCTCTTAATGATAGAAGGAGAAGTGCTTTTATGTTAGACTCAGTTCATTGTTTTGTGTTGAAAATCAGTTTGATGGAAAGTTATTTGTGAAATATTGAATTATAAAAATACACAATGTAGTAGTGTATATATTTGTGCATTAGGAAAACTGAAACCAGTATCCATATATATGCAAGAGAAAGAGAATTGCATTATTCGTACTGTAGTTAAGTTCCTAGAAAAGTACAAAGTTGTGGTAGTTGGCGCTTTCCTACTTAGAGGAACAGAAACAGATGTGTATCAATCAGGTTGTTTGGCTTGTGAAATCATGTCTGAAATTGAAACATGAAAAAATGCCATTCGATGTTTGCCATGATTCATCAAGAGTTGCTCCTTCCTGCTTTCTACATGGGGGGAAGAGACATTGGCAAGAATAGCATTGACTGTATCACCTTAAATTTTTAAAGCTTTATGAAGGAATCTTCAAAATTTTGGGATTGAGGTGAAGTTGTAACAAATGTAGTCAATAGTTGGAATGCTGTTGATGTAAAATATCTTGATCTCAGAAAAGCATTTCACTAATGCCATCATAACATTCTGATTAGCAAGCTAGTTGAATGAGGGCTGTTTGGCAGAAGGATTACGTGGATCCAGAGCTCTCCTGAAAAGTGGATTTGAAGATTGCATTTTCAGAGCACATTTAATTAGGTTAGTTGCCAACTTAGCATATGGATGGGTTATTTGTGGCTTAACCTGATCTGCAGACCCAGGCCTTTTGATTAGTTTACAGGACAACATATTCAGTAACCAGGTTAAGCATCTTGTGCAAGCACAGCCAATTGCTCTTAAAACTGGAGGGAGGAATTCTTTTTGGAATTGTTTCTGTATATTTAGATGTCAGGATTGCCTGGGCTAGCAGTTAACTCTCTTGTGGTGATTTATACATCCAGCAAAGTAGAATCTAGTGTTTTGTTGAGTTCAGGCATTTGCACTAACAAGTATTTGAGATGTCGGATTGTAATGAAGAGATAATTCAGCCCGACATAAAACATGACATCTGTTCCATGTTCTGTGAAACAATGTCTCAAGAGTTCCAAAATCATGTGCAAACATTTGCATTTTCCAAGAAGGTTTCATCAGACAAACTGTCTGGTTACAATCTTAGATGAGTTCAATTTGCAGATACACCAGCTGAGCTCATGTAGGGACAATAAGGACTTTTCCAAAACTTGCTGGAACAAAACAATGATTGATTCACAGTTTTGGAAATATAAAATACAGCTGGAGTACATTTTAGGCATTTTTATTCTTCTTCAGTATTCTGTTTTGCTGGACACTTGTACAGTACTTGGGAGAAGTAGTTCCCTGAGAACAATGTCCTGGACAATGAAGCCTTTAAAGAAAATTCGCATCTCCGATTCTTTCCCTTCTGAAAAAATAAAAACTAAAATAATTGTAGCCAAAATGCCATTTTTCCCCCATTGTGTGCATTTGTGTTTGTATACACATTTATGTATTGCCTGAAGATTTTGTATATGAGGTTAAGAATATAATAAATTAAATTTGCAAATCTCTGCAGTGCTGTAAAGGCTTAAGGATCTGTATGTTCTGGCCAGGCAAGTTGAATTAAAGCTTGGATACTTCCTCCAGACCCATCTGCTGCAGTTCATAGAATCAGAAATTCGATCCAAATGGTGTGCCCAACCCTTTTGTCAAGGGGGGCTGTTGGAAGACATCAGCCTGGAAGGACCGATGGAGTTTCTTCTTCTCAGCTTAGGTTCCTGCATAGCACCAGGTAGGTCAGATTTCCCCAACATATTGCCTCTAGAGCAGTGTCTCTCAACCTTGGCAAGTTTAAGATGTGTGGACTTCTATTCCCAGAATTCCCACTGGCTGGGGAATTCTGGGAATTGAAGTCCACGCATCTTAAAAGTTGGCAAGGTTGAGAGACACTGCTCTAGAGGTATTGGGTATTCTGGCAGAGGCATTAGGGACAGATCCTCACGGAGAAAATCCATGTGGTCTCTTAAGAGTTGACAATGACTTGGTGGCAAGTAATCAATTTGAGAGTAATGCATTGGAAGCTGTTCTCCCCCCCCCCAAAAAAAAACATGCAATGTGGACCTGCCCTTAATTTATGATCGGAGACCTTGCTCTGATGGTGCCTTTCTCCGGCTTTGCTCAGCGGGGGTTTACCTGCTCGGCTTGGAAAGGGTTAAGCGCACGGAATTGGACCGCTAGAGCTGCCTCAGGAGGTCTTCTATGGTCACGCCCCTTCCTGTCCGCCTGTTGTCCTTCCGGGTCGGGACGGCCACTCTTGCTCCTGCCGCCGCCTCGGTGCTTCCACGGGGACCCGGTGAGCGCCCTCCTGGCGGCGGGTCGTGGGCGGAGGGGGGGGCCCGGGAGGCGGAGGAGAGGCGGAGGGGAGCTCCCTGGGATGACCCCCGTCTCCGGACCCCCCTCAACCGCCACCCCTGGGGACTCTCAGGGTTCCCCCGCCTTTGCTCCCGGGGCTTCTCCAGGCGCAGATGGAGCCCTGCAGGGCGGGACTCTCCTGCCTCTCTGGGGCACACGCGGGTTAGGCCTTTGCACGTGGAAGGGGCCCTGGGTACACGCATACCTTCCCCCCGTGCTGTGTGGATACAGACCTCCTTTCCCCGATGGGCTCTGCTGCTGGCTTGGCACGTGATCAGGAGCCACGAGTTCTGATGCTTGCTTCGGGGTGACGGTTGCTTTTTGCCAAGGGGCGCCGCTCCTTATGGGAAGGTTGCAAACATCTTCTGCGAGAGACCTCTCATTTCCTGCTCGGGTTCCTCGAATCGCCCTTGGGAGTTGCTCTTTCTCAGGTCCGGGGCGCTCCTTCCTTCGGTGGGGAAGGGGCTGGACCAGGACCGCAGGGACTCCGGGCCCATAACTCTCTCTCAGTCCCATCTCCCTCGCAGGCTTTCTGCTGTGGGAATACTGAAGGAGGGGTTGGTGGGTAGGCTGCTTTCATCTCCTGCAGAAAAGGAGGAATATAAATCTAATAAGATCTACATTCCCTCTAATGCCAACTAATTAGAAAACCAAAGCAGAAGGTACCAAGCAGAATATCTTATTCTGCATCAAATATCATGCCAAGACCTGTAAGGTTTTTATAAAAGAAGGCACATTTGCCATGCATGAAAAGATAATATTATTCTCTAATGAGCTTCCAGCTTTTGTTATAATGATCCAAGGAGTGTTTAAGCCAATGCCAAGTTTGAGTTCCCTCCTATAAAACTGCATCCTGATCTTCATCCCTCATTGCTTATTAGGGACTGATTTTTCCTGAAGCAAAAAAGGATCCAGCAGAAGCTTAAAAGAGGAAGAAGGAGCTGCTTGCTCACCAGATGAGGAGTTTGGTGTCTTTCTCTTTAGTTTACAAGTGATTCTAATGAAGCTTTATGGCAGTGTTTGTCAATCTTGGCCACTTTAAGATGTGTGGATTTCAACTCCCAGAATTCCCCAGCCAGCATGGGAAATTCTGGGAGTTGAAGTCCATACATCTTAGTGGCCAAGTTTGAAAAACACTTCTTTATGGCTTGCTGGGCCTTTTAGCAAAAGGGGAAAGACATGCTTGTCTTCAGAGGTGTGATAAAATCAAATATATTAATGCATTTTAACACTACCAGATTTTATGAAGAATTTCCTAATCTGTCACCTGGACAAATTAATTTAGCTAATTTAGTGGCACATAAACAACCAAAATATTTCTATCTCTTCTGAAGACAGTATACATATTCATAGTATATATAATTAAACATTTTTCTTTTTTTTTCCTTTCACATCTTTGTAACTTTGTATTATTATTCCTTGTTTTGTTCTTGTTTAAGTTCTGAAATTTGGTTTTGTATAGATGAAAATGTATGTCTGTTTGTTAGAAATCTGAATTCAGCAGGAGCCATAATTAGAGGGTATATTTTATAAAGGGTATATTCTATGTATATGTAGAGGACTAAAAGAATGTCAGGTAATTGAAGTTACAGAAGGTCCCACTGAAAAGAATAACGTGCTCATAATATAGTGGTATTGGATGCAAATATCAATGAATGCTAGCAGATATTCATTATCTCTGAAGTAAGTTAGATTTATAAAGAGGATAGAAAAGCCTCACTACAATCTAAATTACATCATGAAGAGAAGGAAGCACGAGAGAGAGAGAGAAAGGAAATTCATTTTTGTCTCTTAAACAAAGAGACTGTTTTAACTAACAGTAGTTCCAGGCGACAGACAGACATACAAAGGCCTGTAAAGATTTCCTCCAGTCTGTCTCCCACCATTTATTTATTTATATATTCAATTTATATGCCTTTCCATGTCACATACAGGACTGGGTGGCATGCAACTTTAAAATAAATAAAAATACATAAAATTGCTAAACATGAACCAAAAATAAAACCCATAGCTGCCAGAGAATCAAAAAGCCCTCAGCACAGAGAGGACACAGGCTCCGTCACACACCCAGGGCCCCTGGTTCAAGCACTGGGTGTCAAAACACTGTCTCAGAGGTGCAAAGAGAGACACCGTCCCCAACGCCATTTAAATTTTGGGCCTGGCAATCAGCACGCTGGTTAGTGGTCAAATAAGAAGTGATGTGTTTTAATCCATGTGAACTATAAAATAAGTATTTTCTAAGATAAGCAGATATTGCTGACTTGGACCTATTCTTTCTCTTATAGCCAACAGAATGATGCTGGAAACACCTACTCAGCCGCCTGTTCTTTTCAATGGAGGGGAAAAAGCTGTTGCGCAACTGGATTGGGTAGGGAGAATGAAGGAGAAAAAAGCATGCTGGTGACACCCTGTGATGATTAGGGATTGGAACTGTCACTCAGAGCAACACTAGGCACCTCCTCTAGTTTATATCCCACAGGGCGGGGGGAACTGGGGAGAGGAGGATCTGGGGAAATCTCAGACTCCAAGCCCTAGGAAAACCTCCCTTAGTCACAATGGCAGGTTTATGATTTTATATTTAATGCCAGGGAAAGCAAAAACTCTATAGATAGGTTGAAATATTAAGATTTGTTGACGATGGATTTGATGTTTTTTAATTTGATTGCTTGTTTAAATGTGAACAATGTGACTGTGGTGTTCTAAATTTTCCTTCCTGTTCCACCATGTTACCTCCGATATATGTAAAGGAATAAAGGAGAAAAGCATGAATTTCCAAACTGGGAAAAGGGGTGGTGGAGCTAGCAGAAGGGGATTCCTTTTTGAGAAAGAAAAAGAGTGAGCACCTCCCAGACCAGTGACTTTCTGTGACCTGGCCTTCATCCCGCTGGTCTCGCTGAGTCTGAATGAATCTCCTCTCTGTCTTTGCCTCCGTCAAAGCTTCTGCCAGTGAGGCTGGATTGGTCACTCATGGATGTGGAAATCCCAAAGATAAAACCCACTTTGCTTTGCATCTGAAGAGTAGAAATCTCTGTGTTATCTGTGAGCAAGGAAGGTCTCCCACTTCTTCTCATCCTTCTCCTCCTTCTTCCAGAGGCTCTTCACCTTGGAGGAGGTGGCTGTGCATTTCACTGAGGAGGAGTGGGTGTTGCTGGATCCTGACCAGAAAGCTCTGCACAGAGAAGTCATGGAGGAGATCAGTGGCATTTTGGCCTCTCTTGGTAATGCAGCTTCTTTCCTAGAAACAGGTGCCACTCAATTCATTTAGGATTTTTTCCCCCCATGAGCAGTATTTTACCCCTTCAGATCTTTCATCTCATTTAGTTATTCATGAGAAGAGCGAAGCAGAAGTTCTCAACTACCAAATATCTTTAGCAGTTAGTTTTGGTTCACCATTGGTTTCAAGATTATTAAATGGTAATGTAACCAATGTTACAAACCAGCAGCATCTGAAGCAGTGTAATACGAAATAGGATTCTACAGCATAATTCACCAGGTGTAGGTAGTCCCATTTTTAGCTATAAAATGCCTTGTTGATTAAAGATCAAACCTTGTTGGGTTCCTCAGGTTTCCCACAGTCACCAAATGGCTTTTCCCAGACTGGAATAGGAGCCAGAAATAGGATTTCTCTTCTTAACATCTCTCATAACGAGATGGGAGTACTAAGATCTGCTTCAGGGTCAGCTTGGTCACCCTCAGGACTAAGTTCCACAGGATCCTGTGGAACACAACCACATTTTCACATAGGCATCCTTGAAAAACCATCTGTTTTGGGAATGGGCATAGCTAAAGGATTTGTACATTGTAGTTCATGAGCCCTGTTTGGCTCTTGAAAAATCTTTCCGTTGAAAACTCTCTGCATACATGCACCCCGCAGTAAAACTAATCTTGTCTCCATCTTTGATATGATCCCTCTCTCTTTATGGCCCATAAATGTCCCTTCCCAAAATGTGAAGTCATCCTCCTTGGCCACCAGAAGATTGTCCACTGCTATATTAATAGTAGAGCATCGATTTTGCATGGAGATAATCCCAGATTCCCTCTGTGTTATCCCAGAAAGAGTATTGCCTCTTTAAAAAAAAAAGAGTGAAAGAATGAAAAAGAGTCAGTCTGTTCCACAGTTTGGAAGACAAAAGAGAAGGTAGGTTTCTAGGGAGAGTTTGAGCGCTGGAGCCACTGCTGAGAAGGCCTGCAGTCCATTTCCTGGATGATACATGTTGGAGGCAGCGGGCAGTAAGGAAACACCTTGACATGGGAGTAGAACCAAGCAAGTACAAAGACGTTCTTCATGTATTAAGAGCTCAGGTCATTTGAGAATTCAGAGCTTATCTGGAACATTTCCTCTCGTTTCTAAAAGAGGTTGGGTCCTAGTGTAGTTGTTAGAGGATACATTGGAATGACAGAGGACATACCACATTTATGCTGGGAGTTCAGTCCTGCCAGTCCAGGGCATCTTACCTTTTTGTTAATGCTTTTGAAATGCATGGTAAGGCCTCTGCATCTAAGTCTAAACAATTTTCTGTTCTTCCCTTAATCACAGCTGTGCATTTAGGGAGTTCAGTGATTTGGGGAGTCATTTTAAATCTGAGCTTTTTATCAATTTCCTGTCTTTATTTCAGAAGGAGATGAAAGGGAAATCAAGGATGATGGGGAACCGCCCACCAATCAAACCTATACATGCCTAATATGTGGAAACAGCTTCAGTCAGAAGACAGAACTAAATAATCACCAAATAACTCATGTAGGGAAGAGACCCTATAAATGCTTTGAGTGTGGAAAGTGCTTCAATCGGAATGGAAACCTTGCTATACATCAAAGAACTCACACAGGGGAGAGACCATATAAATGCGTGGAATGTGGAAAGTGCTTCAGCTCCAAAACTCATCTAAATACCCATCAAAGAACTCACACGGGGGAGAGACCGTATAAATGCATAGAATGCGGGAAATGTTTCAGTTCGAAATCACATCTGACTACGCATCAAAGAACTCATACAGGGGAGAGACCGTATAAATGCTTGGAGTGTGCAAAGTGCTTCATTTCGAACTCGCAGCTAACAAGGCATCAGAAGACTCACATACAGGATGGACCACATCAGTGCCTGGAATGCGGGAAGTATTTCAGTTCAAAGCCTCACCTTAGTAGACATCAGAGAGCTCATGCTGGGGGGGCACCCTATGCCTGCCTAGAGTGTGGGAAAAGCTTCCTTTGCAATTCTGCACTCGTGATACATAAGAGAAATCACACAAGGGAAAAACCCCATAAATGCTTGGAGTGTGGGAAGTGCTTTGCGTGTAATACAGAGCTGAGCATACATGAACGAACTCACACAGGAGAGAGACCCTATAAATGCCTTGAGTGCGGCAAGTCTTTCAGCTCAAAGGCAAACTTAAATTCCCATGAAAGAATTCACACAGGGGAGAAACCCTATAAATGCTTGGAATGCGGGAAGTCTTTCAACTCCAACACGCATCTCAGAATACATCGGAGGACTCACACAGGGGAGAGACCCTATCAGTGCTCCGAGTGTGGGAGGAGCTTCACTGTGAGCAGTTCCCTGACTTCTCATTACAGAGTTCATACAGGGGAGAAACCCTATGAATGCTCAGAATGCGGGAAATGCTTTGCTCACAGTTCTGAGCTTCTTACACACAAAAAGATTCACAGGGGAGAGAAGCCACATAAGTGTTCGGAATGTGGAAAGGGCTTCATTACACGGACAAACCTTAACACCCATAAACGAACTCACACAGGAGAGAGACCTTTTAAATGCTTGGAGTGCGGAAAGTGCTTCATCACAAAGGCAAATCTTAGAACCCACAAAAGAATCCACACAGGAGAGAGACCTTTTAAATGTTTGGAATGTGGGAAGAGTTTTAGTCAGAGGATAAATCTTATTTCTCATCAAAGAACTCACATAGGACAAATCGTAGAAATGCTAAAATCCTAAAAAGGCTTTTTTTTAAGGCAGCACTTTCAAAGCTACATTAGCCAAACTCCATTCCTCCCCTCAAGTGATGCCTGATTCTACCAGAAGCAAAAAAAGAAAAACACTTCTCTCACCGATAGGAAGTTATTTTGAGAATGCATTAATATGTGGGGAAAGTACCTTTAGGGAAATACCCATATATATGTTTGACCATGGTCTGTATGTTGTGCAAGGAAGAAAGTCCCATTCTTCCTGCAACTGAAGATGATTGCTTAGAGGAACAGAAACAAATGTATGTCAACAGATAAGTTGGCTTGTGAGCCATATACTGATTAGAAATAGAGAATATATTGCGACATCTGTGCATCATGACAGCCTAAAGCAGCTTAAATGTATCACTGCAAACTTTAAACCCCTTGGTTCCCCATGTAATAACTTAGGGACTACAGTAGTTTTATAGCTTCCTGAAGTAGATTGTTGAACCCTGTAACAAAACTCAACTCTCCCTCAAATGATACATGATTTTATAAGAAGAAGCAAAAACGTCTCTCTTGTACTAAGTGAAGCATATCTTAGCTGAAAATTTCATAGATGGAAAAAATTAATTTGAGAAAACAGAAGAAAAATATGTACGTGTAGAAATACCATTAGCAAAATCAGACAATATTCTGGCCATACTTCTTGTCACGCTTAGCAAGCTTTAAAATGTCTCTGGAAGGCACGTGGATGCAGAGTTGCCTTAAAGAAAGCACCTCACTCAAATGGTATCATTAAGAGAAAAGTTGTGGGTTATCTTTTATCCTAGAATTTAGGACGTGGGGTAGGAACACAGAGTCTGGTTGAATATTAAAAAAAGCCTTTTTACAAGTAACAGCAGCTTAAATGAGTCTGTATTGTATAGTTTCTAGACTGCTTTGAATATCATCTGAATTCCTGTAGGAGGTTCATATGGTCAGCTGAGTGTGTAAGAATTGATTTACTGAAGTTAATGCATAGTTTCTACTCAGAACAGTTAAGTGAAAAGCTTTGCATTGATCCTTCACTTTTACTACTATTTCAATAAAACATAAAAAATAATATCCATATTAAAATATATTTATTCAACTGCTAGAAGGTTTGGTCTACCAGCATTTTCAATTCTCATAGAAGACTTCATCAGACATGGTGGCTGAAAATAATGGGGAAAAGCTGGGTGATGATGGTGGAGAAAAATTGAAGTATAGTGGGAATAAATGCTCTTGAGAAAGCAGTGGTATTAGATTGCATTGAAAACTCCTCTGAATTCTAATTGGAAGAAAGAAGCTGTTCATGATTGACCCAGCAGTTTGGGAAATATGAGTTAAAGCTGAAATTTTAAAATGTCCATCTATTGTGAGCCAATTTTCTGTGGCTTATGCAAAATCATAAGAATAACTTAATTATCTCCCTGGGATTTTGCTAGAACCTTTGGGAGAAGATGTTCTTCAAGAATAAAAGCCCTGGACCTTCAGGCTCAAGGGAAATTCACATATCTGATTGTTTTACTCTCTGAAAAGGAGGTTGACCAAAAAGCTTTCTTTTTCCATGTTGAATGTTACAGTAAGTAAAATGTGCAAATGTCTGCAGGATTGTAACTCTCATGCTTCTAAAACAGAAGCCCTGCAAATAGACCTTGTTACTCCTTTAGTCTTTGCCAAGAGTTGAGTTTACTAACCCCACCTTCAGAGTCTGTCCAAAATGGTGTTGATAACAGTTGGCCTATCATGAATATGATGGGGGGGAGGTCCGTCAGGGAGTGATACTCTCTCAAGCCCCTTTCTGGCGGGGGGGCTATCTAGGACCCTGGAGGATGGCCCACTTCACCTGGAATCGTGTCCTGCCAGCGCAAGCTTAAGGCAGTAGGTGGACAAGGCCACCTTGCGCAGGAAAAAAAACATGGTGGGGATTCCCTAGAAAGATCAGAGGACCACCAAAATTAAGTTTCTTCCACTTTTCATTAGAAGTCCTTCTCCTTCCTGTGGGAAAACTCTAGACCAGTGTTTCCCAACCTTATCAACTTTAAGATCTCCGGACTTCAACTGTTGAAGTCCAGACATCTTAAAGTTGCCATGGTTGAGAAACCCTGCTCTAGACCATGTAATTGAAGTTCCAGAAATGGGCAAAACTCTTCTCTGAGATGGTTAAGGCTTTTGAACCTAGAAAGGCAGGATCTGCCTTGCCAGGACACCTGATTGAAATGGTGCCCCATCTTTCCTCTTTGGCTGACCCCTGAAGAAGGGGATCTGGAAGCTCCTGTTACTCTTCAGTATAATATCCCGGAAAGAGCTAGGAAAGAATCTTTTCTGAACACGAGGGAGATGCCATGGGTAATTATGTCCAACAGTCCAGAAGACAAAAGAGAAGAAGAAAATACTTAGAAAGAGTGAGACTTAGAAGCTCTGATGATAAAGTTTGACCGTGTGTAGAATGTCTGTAGAATGTCTAAGCAAGTAGGCAAGTTCTTAACAAGTGAGTAAGATCAGAGGAAGATGTTCTTAGAACACTGACAGTTTGGAAAATCTGACTTTAATCTCATTTTTCTTCTTTTGGACTTAGAAAGGATTTGGGACCCAGACTTGCTATTAAGTCCTTGTTCCCAGTTTAACAAATTCCAGATGTGTTGGCTTATTTCTCCAATTATCTTCTCAATTATTCCTTTTCTACATCAGGTAGCTTCTGTTATCAGTACAGACTTTGTAACAGGAAGGTTTAAGAGGGAATGACTAATTTCAAGAAGAAAGCATGCTTGAGTTTGGAGTGGCGCCCAGAGGCACAGGCTGAGTTTGCTGCTTTATACATTGTCAGTTTTATGTTGGCGCCTTTTAAATGTATGGCAAAATTTGCTCATTGCCATCTTAAGTGCTTTCTCACCACTATTGATTTAGAATATTTAGTGACTGGAGGGCATTTTGAGACTTAAAACACTACTAATTTCCTCCTCTTAATTCTGAAGGTGCTAAATGGAGAATTAAGCATGAAGGAGTTCCACGTACACCTCAAAAACGTCACACCAGGGAGAAACCCTAAAAATGTTTGGAGTGTGGAAAATGCTTTCCTCGCCATGCGAACCTTATTACACATCAAAGGATTCATACTGGGGAGAAATCCTATAAATGCTTGGAAATATGTGGAAAAATCTTCCGTTTGAATACAAACCTCCGTAGACATCAGGGAATTCACACAGGGGAGAGATCCTATCAATGTTTGGAATGCAGAAAATACTTTGCATGCCATCTGGACCTTATTAAACATAAAAGAATTCACATGGGAGAAACCTTATAAAGGCTTGGAGTGTGGAATATGCTTTGCTCACAATCCCAGCTTTATCAAGAATTCACACAGGGAAAAACCCTATAAATGCCCAGTGTGTGGGAAATGCTTCTGTTTGAATGGAAGCTTACATGGACATCAAAGAATTCACATGGGAGAAACCCTATAAATACTCAGAGTGCCCAAGGGGTTTTGCACGCAGTCCAGATCTTATTTGACATAAAACAGTTCACACTGGGGAAGAAAGCATGTAAATAGTGCAGTATATGTAAAAAGCATGTAAATAGTGCAGTAAATGCTTCAGTTGAAGTACTACAAACCTACACAGACATCCAAGGATTCACATGGGAGAAAACCTGTAAACGTTTGGAGTGTGGAAAATGCTATTCTCATAGTCCAAATCTTACTAAATATGCAAGAACTCACAGGAGAAGTCCTAAAATAGTTAAGTGTTGAAAATGCTTTGCTTGTACTCCAAACCTTATTAAATATAAAAGAATTTTGACATACATGCACCTACAAAGAGGATATAAGTGCTTGGTGTGTGGAAAATGCTTTGCTTGCAATCCACACCTTATTACACATGAAAGTATTCACTTTCAGCAATAAATCTCATTTGGCAGCAAAAATAAATGGGGTTAAATTTTTTGGTTGTTCAACAATAGTTTATCTAAGTTCTTTAGCGTTTTTTTTAAATTAGGTGGCTACAGAAAATTGTGTTGGTCTGGGATCTGATTTTCTTTTTTTCTTTTCAATTTATAATTCAATTATTCAGTATCTTACATATGTTTTTAGCTGCAGTTTTCGTAGGTTTTTGTTTCTTTTTTTTAGTTTTTCAAAAAGCTTTACCGGTTAAATGAGCTTTTTTTCCCCTTGACCTACAGAATTACAGACCTACAGATGTACGGCATCTCTGACTTGGCCCAGGGTGGAAATGAACACGTGCTATTGGAGTACTGACGACATCTCACTCCAGGGTGATATAAATATTAAACATCAAGGGTGAGAGAACTGAACCCTGTGGGATACCACAAGGGAGGGCTGACTAGGCTGGCCTCCCCCTCCCCTACTACCACCGATTGGTACTGCCCACTCAGGAGTAGAACCACTGAAATACCATGCCCCAACACCCAACCCTCACAGGTGATCCAGGACCATACCACGGTTGATGGTATCACATGCTGCTGAGAGGTCTAGAAGGGTCAGGAAAGGTACACTCCCCATATCTAGATCCTGAGCAACCAACTCCATTTCTATTCCATGACAGTATCTGAATGCAGACTGAAACTGATCTAGATAATTTGCTTCTTCAAGTGTATTCCGTGGCCGACTCCCTCACCACAATCTTCACAGCCTTCCCAAAAAACTCATTGGGAGTGGGGCTGTATACACCAGCCTTGAAGGAAAGGATGGTGTACTCTCCTCAAGAAGCTATCCCTGGACAATTGAACCAATTTGGCACACATCCCAGCCCTGTGAAAAAGCCGAGATGGGCATGGATCAAACCCACAAGGGTAGTGGTCATACTATAAAGCACCCAGATTGTGTCATATTGTAATGGTATGTGGGAATTACCTCGGGAGACCGGGGGAAGAGATGCTGCCTAGGGAATGGTCAGATAAGAGATGGCATAGCCCACAGCTGCATAATGGGAAGAGGAAGGGAAGGGAAGGGAAGGGAAGGGAAGGGAAGGGAAGGGAAGGGAAGGGAAGGAACCTCCCTAATTTATCAGGCAGTAAAAAGAGATGGCAGGAGATTTGTACCTTCAGACTTGCAAGATTCTGTTAATGTAGCCTTACAATAAAGTAGAATTAGCTCATCTGGTCATGTTTCCTATCTGGTCTACCTGAGAAGGCTGACATATACTGTATGTGTTACAGCCCACAATACAGTTTACTATGTGGTATATGAACAGTACTGTATAAGGCAGTAAAAAGAGATGGCAGGAGATTTGTACCTTCAGACTTGCAAGATTCTGTTAATGTAGCCTTACAATAAAGTAGAATTAGCTCATCTGGTCATGTTTCCTATCTGGTCTACCTGAGAAGGCTGACATATACTGTATGTGTTACAGCCCACAATACAGTTTACTATGTGGTATATGAACAGTACTGTATAAACCCATTGTTTCAAACTAAGCAATGTAATTTGGACCTATATCATATGGAGATTAGATCTCATGAATAGCACAGCCATGCATTTATCTACAACTGGTAGTCTAAGTGTGGTATGAAGTTGGAGCTAAGTATCTTCTCAGTGACCATCTGGGGACCTTGCTCAAAGTCCTGCCACTTGGAGAGTCCAATAGACATACAGTAGCTCTGAGAATAGGTTTTTCTGCATTCTGGCTTGGGCTCTTTTAGCTACAACTAGCATTCCACACTGCTTGGAGGCTGGTAGACAGAGGGCGAGGGGGGCACTTATAACACAACAGAAAGTCCTGGATTGAAAGAGCAGATGCCAGTGGCTTGTTCAAGTCTGGAAAACAAGAAAAGCAGAGGGCTTTGGAGGGGGACGCTGATGGTTATCTGAGCAGGGACTACAAACATTTGGGGGGGGGGGGGGAGTTATAAAGGGAGCCCCTTCCTGTAAGTTGTACAGCTTCCAGATAGAAAGTGGGCAGAATGAGGAGTGACAATTTCAAGGGAGATGATTGATGCTGAAGAGAGGAAAGTCTAGTAGAGTGTTTTTCAAGCTTGGCTACTTTAAGATGGGTGGACTTCAATTCCTAGAATTCCCCAGCCAGCCATGTTGGCAAAGGGTTTGGGTTTCTCACTGAAATCCTGTCCCTTCCCTGCTTAGGATCTAGGTTCACACAGCCATCAAGTCTTGAAGAGGTTGGGCAAACTTTGCACACACGCACACCTTCTTCAAGTAGACATAGGTGCATAGATCTATCAGATATCCTTATTCACATCAAACAACCTAGCATTGTACCTTGCTTGGATGCTGGAAGCAGAGGGTTAATCCTTCCAGTGCTTTGGTGTTAATCAGGAATGTTTTCTTCTTCTTTCCACTCCTGTGTCCTTCAAGGAGGCAGCTTTGTGTTTTATGGGGGAGTGGTTTCAACTAAAACACTTGTATGGGAAAGAATACTAGAAATTCCAGAAATGTGGCTTCTCTGGGTTCAGACGATTGGAGAAGACCATTTGAAATAACCAGCTTGTTTCTTCCAAGAAATAGCCAAACCAGAGCTTGTCTTCTGATTGCAAAGAGAAGATTTGTTCTTCTGGAGTTCTTAAGTTATAGACTCCACTGATGGTGAGGCTGAAGAGGAGAACCTGGCAATCAGCCTTTAGTTTATTTATTGATTTATTGTACTGGGCTTCTAAGCTGCTCCAATCACGAGTAACTCTGAGCAGCACATACCCTAATATTCATAAGTTGGGTTATAGTTAGTTTCATAAAAGTACTGTCCAATCAAATCAAAACATATCAACATCGTATATCACACATACAGGGCCAGAAACATGGATCAGTTAAACCAAAGCTGTTGCTACTATAAGAGGGGATAGCATCACAACTTTCTGGCACTCAGGTTTTGTTAAAACACACACATATTAATTACTTTTCTAAAAACCAATAAGGTGGGAGCCATCCAAGTATCTGTGAGAGTGCTGCCCCACACAGAGGGTGCAGCAGTTGAGAAGGGAGACAAGTTATCAGCCACCTGAGAGTAATGACTCAGACCCAGCACAGGTGGCTGTTGTTCTGGATAACAAGGAGCCAGATCCTGGACTTAAGAGTGCCAGGTCCTAAAATATGCCCTGATCAGTGAAGACGGGCACATCTCCTTGGGACCAGAGGGCATCAGCTCTGCTAATTAAGCAAGGTTGGAACTCCAGCTATACAAGAGAATCCAGAATAACTACTAGGACCAGTGTTACCAGCTTGCCCAGATGTTTTCAGACAAACAGCAAGATGGTCTTGGTAGGATTTAATCTGAGGATTTCTTTTGCCCCATCCAATCCCTAAGAGCTTCCAGGCACTGCTTCAGGATTTCATATCTAGTTCTGCCTGGGATGGTGATATCACTAAGCACCCTCAGCATATTGATGACATCTCACCTCCAACTGATGGATAACATCATCCAGTGGGGAGAGCCCTGAGCTTTGTGGCACCCCACATTGGAGTGCTCAAGGGCTCAAACACTATCCTCCCATGATGACCAACTGGAATTATCTACTCAGCCAGGAGCAGAACCTCTCTAACACTATGCTCCAATCTTTGCATGTGTCCAAAACAATACTATGATCAATCATAATGAATGCTGTCAAGACATCTAATAGGAGTAGGAGGGGGCACACTCACTGATTGGTTATTTGCCAGAGTAACCAAAGCCACTTCCTTCTCACGACAAGACCTGCATCCTGACTGTAAGGGATCTAGATACAGGTGGTCCTCGACTTAGGCCACAGTTGGGACCAGAACTTCCATCGCTAAGCAATGAGGTTGTTAAGTGAGTCGCACTCAATTTTATGACCTTTTTGCCACAGTTGTGAAGTGAATCACACAACTGTTAAGCGAATCCGGGTTCCCCCACTGATTCTGTTTGTTGGAAGCACCCTGGGAAGATTGCAAATGGCAATCACGTGACCCTGGGACACTGCAACCATGATAAATACATGCTGGTTGCCAAGTGCCTGAATTTTGATCACATGACTGCAGGGACACTGCGACGGTCATAAGCATGAGGACTGGACAAAAGTCATTTTTTTCAGCGCTGTCATAACTTCAAACAGTCATTAAACAAATGGTTGTAAGTCAAGGACTACCTGTAATCTGTTTCAAAAGAATCCTAGCTCATAACACAAAGCACCACCTCACCACAATGGGTTGTGTCCAACTCACATCCAGACCAGAGGAGTTTTATCCTCAAGGAAACCTGCAGACTCATCTTGAGGCCTGCAGGTGTTTTATCTCACCCTTTCTTCCCTTAAAAGGTAGAGGTCTTTCTCTGGGCAGGAGTGAGACTCTACTGATGGAATAAGTTCAGAAAAGAACTGATGCTGAATTGCTTTTGTCATCAGCATGTATGCATTGGTTGCTTTAACTGTTTTTAATGTCTCAATTTTTCACTTGCGTTTTCTTATGAACTCCCCAGAACGCTGGCATTCCAAATGAAATAAATAACAGGACAATAATAATAATAACTTGAGGAACAGGCTGGAATGCCCTATTCCCAATCAGCCCAAACAATCAGACATATTAAATTACAGGGTATTATGGTAAGAATAATACCTCAAGAATAAAGAGATAAGATCCTGAAGCTGGAAATGTAGGCCGCGATTAGTGTGAGTTCGAATGGCGTGAAATTCGATTTCGTGCAAGTTATAAATTGATACTAGGTCGCGTTTAACGGAACCCAAAATTCAGTTAGCGCGAGGCTAGCACACGCGCAGTTGAGGCTAGCACATGCAGAGTTGCCATTGGGGTTTAGACCCTAATCATCATTTGTGCAAAATGGAGGAAAGGCAGGTTCCATTCAAAAAAGAAGAGATCATCATTTGGAAGAAGTACAGCAGAATACAGGAGACAGCAGGCACCCTTTGGATATGGGTTTATCCTCTTTTACTGTTATACAGTATTTCATTAATAAACATTAAAAAATTATGCTTAAAATTTTCATTGCGTCCTTCCATTCAAGCTGGAACCAGTGACCCCGTTTTCCATAGAAATACCACTTTGAATACAATAGTGTGAATTCAAATAATGCAACCATTTCGTGGGATTCATTAACCACACTAACTGAGACCTACCCGTATTCCAAAATGTTTCAATCTCCTCTTTTCAGGTGGTGAACCAAATGCATGCCGGTGATCAAGCGAACAGCTTGAAAGGCAAATTCCAGCAGGAAACAGATCATTACAGCTTAGAATTACTTTGAATTCTAGCAAGTAAATTTGGCTATTTACCATGGTTTGGTTGAGTCTAAAATATCCCGGTGGATTTTAGGAGAGGGATTAAAGAACAGCCAGCTTATAAATACATTTTAAATTATATGAAAATGTTGAGAACCAGAGAAAACATTTTATGATACATAAAAACACACAATATGTTGTATACGATTAAAAGAGAAATAATGGACATTTATAGAGGTTGCTCTTCTCTGAGTCAGTTGTTTTCTGATAAGCTCTTCTAGGATTTGAAAGCTATTCCTCCTAAGTTTTATATTTCCAAAACTTATCTTCTTCTCTGGTTTCTTTCCAGTGCAGGAAGTTCTCTACCAGTGCTGCTTGGTCAACACTCCATCCATCTAAATCAGTGTTTTCCAAACACTGGTTGGGGAATTCTGGAGTTGAAGTCCACACATCTTCAAGTCTGAAAAACACTGATCTAAATGATTACTCTGTTGTGTGGATAGTTTCCTTTAAATTAAAAACAGTGATTTGATTTCTCCCCTCTGCAGGCTCTCTGATGTCTTCCAAGATCCCAAAGCACCATCAGAAGGGTTACTTCCTGTCAACTGCTGAGTTAGCTGGACCCACATGGTCCCAAGAAAAATGGAAATATTCCAAAATTCCCCAAAATGTTTCATCTCCAGAAATGGAATGTTTGCACAAACCTAGTTTCTTCTCTGTTTTATTTCTTTTAAAGGGAGTAAAAATAAGTGTTCGTTCTCTTTTCATGTACCATGCTTTATATGATATCCCCTTCTTTGATTTAGAGTAAAAACAGTAAAATAATTAGGTTACTCCCTAGGTGAATATATATGTGAAGTAAGATGGCTTCTCAGCCATTCTTTCCATACTGTATAGATTTATATTTTTTCTCCTTTGTGGAGTGTTTTATGGAAAATAGGATGAGTTCTTGTAGCAAAATTATAATTCATTTCTTTTAGGAATTCTTTTATTAGACATAAGGAAACTAGAAACAAAGAAGCTCTTTACACATTTCATGCATTTGTAGGTTTCTCATGACCAAATCCTTTTATAGGAATTAAGGTGGCTGTCTTACCGAAGGCTTTTCCTCACTTGTCACATTTATATGGATTCTCTCCTTTTATGGGAAGTCATGAGAATCCTCATTCTGAAGCTGCTGATTATTATTATTATTGTTATCATAATTATTATTATTAAAATAATTTATATAGCCACTCAATTTGCAAATAGTAATTCCAGGTGGCTCACATGGGGCTGAAAACATAAAAGAACCAATAATAAAACACACCACAATACAGCAGACCTGAGGCCAACAATATATGCCAATTCTAAAGTAAATATATACTCTATATATTTATACATTTTTTTTCCTAGTGTGGATCCTTTTGTGAGATGTAAGTTGACTGCTCTGTTTGAAACTCTTTCCACATTCCCAGCATTTATAGGGCTTCTCCCCCGTGTGGATCCTTTTATGTGACGTAAGCTCGCTACTCAACCTGAAGCTCTTTCCACACTCTGTGCATTTATAGGGTTTCTCCCCTGTGTGGAGCCTTTTATGGGAAGTCAGGTGGCTGCTCTGGCTGAAGATCTTTCCACACTCTGTGCATTTATAGGGTTTCTCCCCTGTGTGGCTCCTTTTATGTGAAGTCAGGGAACTGCTGTTGCTGAAGCTCTTTCCACACTCGGTGCATTTATAGGGTTTTTCTCCAGTGTGGAGCCTTTTATGGGACGTAAGATGACTGTTCTGGCTGAAGCTCTTTCCACACTCAGTGCATTTATATGGTTTCTCCCCTGTGTGGAGTCTTTTATGAGAAGTCAGGTGACTGCTCTGGCTGAAGCTCTTTCCACAGTCTGTGCACTGATAGGGTTTCTCCCCTGTGTGGCTCCTTTTATGGGAAGTAAGGAAACTGTTCTTGCTGAAGCTCTTTCCACACTCAGTGCATTTATAGGGCTTTTCCGAGGAATGGATCCTTTTATGAGAACACAGAGCACTGCAATCACTGAAGCTCTTCCCACACTCCAGGCATTTATACGGCTTTTCTCCTGTGTGGATCCTTTTATGATAGGTAAGGGAACTGCTCCTGCTGAAGCTCTTTCCACACTCTATACATTTATATGGTTTCTCCCCTGTATGTATCCTTATATGAGAAGTAAGATCACTGGTCCACCTGAAGTTCTTTCCACACTCCATACATTTATATGGTTTCTCCCCTGAATGAATCCTTCCATGGAAAGTAAGGGAACTCCTCATTCTGAAACTCACTCCACACACCATACACGTATATGTGTTCTTCCTGGTGTGGATCCTTTTATGAGAAGTAAGTTGACTGCTCAAGTTGAAACTCTTTCCGCACTCCAAGCATTTATGTGGTTTCTCCTCTGGATGGCTCTTTTTATGACCAGTAAAGGATCTCTTTTCACTGAAGCTCTTTCCACACTCCACACACATATATATTTCCCCCCCAGGGTGGAACCTTTTATGGGAAGGAAGATGACTGCTGTCCCCAAAGTCCTTTCTATGTTGACAGTATCTACATGGCTTCTCTCCAGTGTGGATTTCTTGACCTAAAGTGAGAGGGAAATGTTGGTTAAAATAGGTTCCATGCTTTCTGTTTTCATACTGGTGGCCTCTGGTCACAATGCCATACTGGGGGAGAAAATCCAATTTACCTTTGCGTATTTTTTTATATACAAGCCAATTCCCCTTTCTCATTCTTCCCTGAACGCATTTGGTCAGGAGAAACGCCTGGACTGCAGCACATCCAGAACCTGAAGATTTCTCCTCCTCATGCTTAGAGTGGTTTTCCTGGTGTGTTTGTGATCTCCACGGAACCCCAAATGTCTCTTTCCTCAGTTCAGGGTGGATTGCTGGTGACATCACCGTATCAGGTTCCTGGTAGTTCTCATCTTCCTTCTCATTTCCTGCTTGAGACAGAAAGAATAAAACTAAACCTTAAAGCTGAATCTGAGGGGAACACCGAGAAAAAATTCCCATTAGTTAATTAGTTAATTCTAACAGAAATTGAATAGCTGCTCTATTACTCCCTGTTTCCTCTCTGTATACTTCCTTGAAAGTTACAGTATATTACAGTTTAAGCACCTAACCATCTCAGAGCTGATGTCTGATTTTGTATTATAGGTAGCCTCACTTAACAACGGTAACTGGGACCAGAAACTCCATCGCTAAGCGGCGCAGTTGTAAAATGAAAAATTATGTGACCACACCAACTTACAATGGCAGTTCTGCCACTTCTGGCTGCCATTGTTAAGCGAATCCCACATGGTCATTAAGCAAGGACCTCATGTGACCATGAATTATGACTTCTTTTCAGCTTCCCCATTGATTTTGCTTGTGGGAAGCTGGCAGGGAAGGTCACAAATGACTATCATGTGACTGCAGGGTACTCTAACAGAAATGCAGGCCAGTTACCAAGTGCCCAAATTGCGATCATGTGACCACAGGCCAGATTTTGAGGACCAGTCGTTAAGTCCCGCTCATTCAGTGCCGTCATAATTCTGAATGGTCGCTGAATGAGTGGTTCTAAAGCAAGGATTACCTGTAAAGTATTAATATGTCCTGAATATTGAATTCTACACTAGGAACTTCAGTGTAGAAAAAGCCTCTGCCAGCTATTTGAACCCACAGCAAAGAGGGGCCCTTACCCAGAGTGTTCACATTCCTGGAATTCTCCAGCATGACTTCCCGGTGCAAGGCTTTTTGGCCAGAATCCAGCAACGCCCACTCCTCCTCCGTGAAATTGACAGCCACCTCCTTCAGGGACATGGGACTTGGTGCAGGACCCTGAAACCAGCAAACATTAGCAGATGTACCCAAAACCATATTTTGGGTGTGCAGTGGAATAAACTAGAAGCCATGACAATAGGAGATGAGGTGTGCTAAACTAAGTGCTAATAGGGAACGGAATCAGTAATAGCACAGGCTATACAAGTTGTATAGAAGCTGTCTTTGTTCAAGTTGCTTTCTCTGTGCAATTTCCAGAAAAAGAAGTAAGTTAGAAGAGACTATGGGTGGTGACTTCCGGGGAAGCAATGGCAGACTGAAGATGGATCCGCAAAGAGTTGAACCGATGGCCTCAGCAAAAAGAGGAGCTGGTAAATGGATTGGCTTCCCAGACTCCTCTCCGGATCAAGGGGAGGACCAGGATCACTCACAAGTGCTCCTTACAGAGGCTCCCCATGAGGAGATAGTAAAACAGCAGTCTCCGGTGGATTTCAGAGCTCTAGAAGCTGGGAAAAAGTCATCTTGCCTAAGCTGTGGTTAGGAGCCTTCAAACAGACACTGGGTTCGCCCACTTCCTCTCTTAATCACTTCTGGAAATGGCTTGTTAACTGCTTTTCGGATATTAAGAACCTTCAGAAAGGCAAGTTTCATTATACCAGGTGCTTCTTCAATTCTCAGCAAAAGAAGTTTCAAATAAGTTTAAGAACTTAAATAAAAAAAATTTATTCTGAAATAAACAGCAAAAGGGTGATTAGATCATTGATTTTGGAAAGTTACAAATGGACTAAGGGGCCAGATTGACTGGAAATAAGATTTTGAAAGTAATGATAAGAATCTTTCCTGTGGGTTGTTTAAAATCCTATTAAAAATAAATGAAGATTTTGAATCTAGGTGTAAGAAATCTTTCCATGGGAAAATGTTGTGGATTAGAGAAAAACATAATAAGAGAAGACCTTGAAGGCTGGTCACTAGAAACAACTAGAACTAAAGATTATAGTTAAAGGAGAAAAGACCCACTAAACAGAATGGAGAAAAGTATTTTAACTCTGGAAGAATTCAAGGATATTTGGCAACAATGTACTCAGAACTTTCTCTTAACATCGTCTGCTACTATAAAGATGGGTATAAAAGAGGGGATAGAAGAGGATACCACTGAGAATCAGGCTGTTTTGGATATGGATTTAAAACTGACAGGCTACAAGAATGATATAGACAAAGATGTTACACAGGACTTATACATGAAACTAGCCAATGTTTAATAGCTAAAAAGGACACACAAATAATAAATCAGAAGAGTGACTTGGATGTGTGGATTTCAACTCAGAAGTGTGACTTGGACAACTTTCTTATTTGGACTTACAAAACAGATGTGTTATACTGATGAAGGAGTTCCTGAGAAAAGATAGAGAGAAAATGAAAAAAAATCAGCTTTTGGGATATTACTTAAAAGGAATAAACATCAAGATTTTTAAAAGTAAAAAGAAGGAATATAAAGTTGACTTATTTGATTAAGGTTAAAATATATATGATGTTTTTTCTAGTAGCTTTTAATGGTTTTTTCTTGACCAGGATTAAAGGATGAAGCTTTAAAGATTTGTTTATAGATAAAATATGGGAAGAAGAGGGTTTTTGTTGTATTTTTAGAGAAAGTGATAAGCTATGGTGTTAAAATTGAAGGAGAGTGCTAAACTTGTGAAGGAATTTCTGAGAGGAGACAAAGAGAAAATGATAAGAAACTAACTTATGGGATACTATTTGAAGGGATTAAAAATCAAGATTTTCAATATGTTGTTTCTGGTAGCTCTTAGAATTTTCTTGATTAAGCTTGAATGACGAGGCTATGATATGAGATAAAGAATGGGAAGAAGATACTTTTTGCTGTTGTTTTTTTAAAATAACTATAAGTTACTGTGTAAACAAAAGGAAAGGAATATGAAATTGATTTATGTGATTAAGGTTAAAATATATACATTGTTATTTTTTCCCTTTTATTTTTATGAATGTATATTGTTATAGGTTTTAATTGTATATTTATTTATTGTTTTAATGTGTTGTGAGCTGTCCAAAGTCCCCCACTGGGGGGAGATGGGCAGGGGACAACTTTAATAAATTAATTAATTAATTAATTAATTTCTGGTAACTCAATAGACTTGCTGATTAAGACTGAATGATGAGGCTTTATTATTTGTTAACAGATAAAAGATGAGATATGGAATGAAGAGATCTTTAGTTGAAATGTTAGAGAAGGTGACAAGTTACTGAAATGGTTTGCACTTGTCCTGATGAAAGGGAAAGTCATTTCTTTATATACTGTATATATTTTTTCTTTTTTCTTTATATTTTCCCCCTTTTTTCTCCTTCCCTTTTTTTCTCTCTGCACTTTTCATTATTCTCTTCTTTTTCTTTTTAAAATTTTTCTTCGTTTATATTAGTGTTTTATCTTTGTATTTTTAAGCTTTAATAAAGACTATTATAGAAAAAAGAAAAGGCTATGGGTGGTCAAGCACAAGTTTGTTCTTTTCCTAAATCAACCACTGTTTGTTCCTAATAAGGTACGCAAGAAACTAATCTAATCTCACATTTGTAGCCAACATGACAAAGGTTGGGTTGCCTGTGATCAGCCTGTTGGTTTACTGTAGCTTCTTATAAGAAGGAGGTTGAACTGTGGTGCTGGAGAAGACTCTTAAGAGTCCCCTGGACTGCTAGGAAGTCAAACCA